TTAGTATGGAGGAAGTACGACTCGGTATGACTGCTGTTCCCAACTTTGTTGTGACAGAATCCTTGCCCAATTACACGCAAATAAATAACCTGCTGGCATTCCTCGATGTTCTCGTCTGTTGCAAAGATTGTGGTGGCGTAAATAACGCGTAAGAACGCTATATCGGCGTGTTGAGACGCACTGCAGTGAATCAGATGACATGGTGGCCGAATCCCAATATCATCGACGGATTTTCAGAGAACACATTTAAGTTCGATGAGGCCGAAATTTTGGCAACAGCGGATAATCGCGTGAGCCACGAGTGGCTTGAATCATGGTCCACGGGAATCACAGTCTATCAATAAGTGCAACGACTTCTCCACTCCATATTCCGTGCTAAGACATAGGCTGGTCAAAGTATTTGAACCCTCGGCAAACACGCAAGCCGGTGAGCACGATGGCCGAGCAATCATCACGCCAACATCCAACACGGGCGATGAGATTTCAGCCATTAACAACTTGCATGCCGGCCATCAAGCAATTAGCGCAGCAGCTGGCAACGATTCTTGATGAAGGGGAGAACGGTTAATTACTATAGGTATGCGGTAGCATAGCGACAGAATTCTATAAATAATGCATCTTCCTGGGCACAAGTCACCCGTATCTGCCACTGTTTCTGATGATGGGTCCAAGTGAGAATCCGAAACGTAAGGCGAGTTAAGCACTTGTTTCAGCGATCGCTTCTTCTTTTTCTTAACACTAATGAGTAATATTGCACATTTAGCGAGGCGTTTCCCTGTCTAAGGATGCGCTTGCCTACCTCCTGTCAACATCTGATCTTTTTTTTTCAGAATGTTCACATCTGGCAAGGCGATCGTTATAAATTAGGAGTCTTTACTGTCGATAGCGACAAGGTTATTTCTGGAGAACCAACACTTTTGTTGGTTATTAGGCGTCAAATCGTCATATCTAACCGATTTCAGCGCCCTAATGTGCAGTGATGACGCACAACTAACCCTTTGTTTTAATGGACTGAAACTGTTTTGCCGTTTGAGAACTTATATATGTTGTCTCTGAATTGAATGCCAGCGAAGAGTAATTTTTAGATTTAAAGGTATAGCACATTACGTTTCACGTGGTTTGGCCCAGAAGAAAAACTTATATGCACAGATGCACCTGAACGGAATTCGGTATTATAACTTTTCCTAAAAGTACAACTTATTACAGAAAGGTTTCTAGTTGGTCAAAGTCATATTCGCTGGTGACATTTTGTGAACTTTCATTTCATTCGGCCGTGATTCCTCCTGTTTGTGACTGTCTGCAAATCTGGCCCAAAGGACTTTCTACATGGATGAGAACACCCAAAGACCAACTATTCTGCAAATGCCTTCATGAAATGTCATATTTTAAGCGTTTCAGCAAACGTATTGTACGGAATCACACTTTATGTGCAGTCGACTAAAATGCTGAAAATCAGGAAGTATTAGGAAATACTTCAAGTCTTATGTGAAACCCATCGCAACCCAGAACAAGCAAAAAATACAAATTAATTTTACGGAAGAAGGGGTCTCGGTATATACGGAAAATGGTAGGTTTACAATTGCGACTGTCAATTCTATCTAAAATTAAATGACACTGAAGTCCTTTTTGTCAAATTTAAGCAAATTTCTATTTGATTATTGATTCGCGTCTCAGTTAATTCAACAGCATAAAGACTAGCACGGTTCTTTTGCTTATATTTTTGCATTAACTTTGTGATTTGCCTGAGTAGACCTCATGTGTTTATTATACTAAAATGTACACAATTACAACCATTTCGGCGATTCATTGTAATTTTAGGTTTTTCTATAAAATGTCATATCCCAATACCCTTCTATTATCGAGAACAACTTTTCATGTTTTTAATTCCTTTGCAGTTGTTATTTATGTACGTGGATATTGGGCGCGGAC